TGATCGTTTAATAAAATCGTGATTAAACCGGACCATTCTCCCATTTTTCAATATTACTTTCGACATTCTTAATTTTTAACCGTTGACCGAAAACGCTCGTCAACAAATATATATTAATTACACAAATTGTGTAAATCCAAATGATTTATTCAATCTGCAAATAATTACTACAATTATGAAAATATCAATTAAAATAATCAATTATGAGATTTACTAAAAAACCATTCTATAAAAAATGTGTTAATGACACATTTTATTTAAATATTATTTTATAATTGTTATTTACTTTTGGTATTTAATTACTCAAATTGTGAATAATTAAGAAAATAATTAGACTAAAAAAATTTACATTTTTAAGTTACCTAATTATACAGTCGAGTAAATTTGGTTTGATTTATTCAATCATAATATTTTATAAAATTATTCTAAAATAATTGTATTAATGACATCTTCTATTTAATTATTTTTTAATAACTGTCGTTTGGATCTTTTTTATTGTTATCTATAAAAAATGTGGGTCTCGAGTTCTTTTTGTACGCTGGGCAATTTATTTTGTGGTAAAACTGAATATCATTTTTTTGTATTTTAACAATGATGTATGAAAATTATGAAATCAAATTATTTGGTATACTATATATTGATCCAATATACACGCTTATGGTAAAAAATGGTATCTCAATTTTTTTTTTATATTGCTAAGTATTATACGCGATATAAATGAGAGCAAAATATGGAGAATACTATATTTTGTAAATGTGCGTGGAACATATCAAATTATTTGATAATATATATAAAGGTTTGTATTTACTTGAATCACATAGTAGTCAAATCGAATTTCTGAATAAAAATTTTAAAATGAAACCTATTTCGAAATGAATATAATGTAATTTATTATTAGTTACTTGCACCGTACATGTTGTGTATCAATTTTAAATAGACATATTTAATGTAATTATGCACAATTTATATTTCATATAACATTTTCAATAAATTAATATAGGTAAGTTGTTATACCTATTGATTTCACATTTAAATTTATAAATATTATTTAATGAGCATTTTTAATTTATAAACACTAAAGAAAATTTCTTGCCCGTGCATCGCACGGGATTCGTATTAGTAAACAAAAATATAATTTGCAAAGTTTTAAAAACCGCACCAATCAAGTTACTTGTTCAATAGTTCACTAGTCTGACCAATGGTTGAATCCAGGGCTGCAAATGAGCCGATCCGAGTCGAGCATTGGTCTTATCGAGCAGGATTGAGCTTTTTTTTAGCTGCTCGAGCTCTATTTTTGAGGCTCGAGCTCGACTCGATAAAAAATTACAATAGGTCGAGCTCAACTCGAGCTCGACTTGTAATCAGAATGCTAGAGCTCGACTCGAGTTCGACTCAAAAATTTTTAAGTGAAAAGGTAAAATTACCGTTAAGCACCTATGCTAATATATATAATAAGGGTACTTTAATAATTTAACATGTATTTCGAGCCGTTCGACGAGCCGTTCGACAAGGAAAAACATGGGCTCGAGCTCGGCTCGAGTTTGTGCTCGAGCCGCTCGAGCTCGAGTCGAGCTTTGACTCGAGCGCTCGCGAGCCGCTCAATTCGTTTGCAACCCTAGTTGAATCGGTTGAAGCGGTATTTAATTTGTTAATATTTTTAATCATATATAATATTATATACAATAAAATCCATATAAAAAATCTTTGTTAATTAAATTTTAAGCCAATTTAAGACATTCAAATAATTAAAATAACTAATAATGACTTATATATATTCATTATATTTAAATATGTACTTTTTTAATTATCTTATTTTAAATATGCTAAGACTTAATCGTTTTTTTTTTTTTTTAAAATTGAACCAGAACCAGTCTAGTTTTTTTGCCGATTTTGACTGGTTCAACCGGTTTTTGACTGGTTCATTGGCAACCAGCTAGTCCACTGACTGGTTCCCAGTCCAACTGGTCAGACCGGCCTGTCCGGTTCAGTTTTCTAAACCATGATAATTTGGTTAAGTCCAAAATTTCGCATTAATACCCAATAGATCAAGTGGGCTGCTAAGATCGGGCTTAGGGCAAAGGAATTGGTCAGATAATTGAGAATATTGGGTCATCGAAAATTCATTTCATTTGGTCCACAAATACCAACAATATATATAATAATATATATTAAAAAGTTATATAAAAACATATATTTACAGTGCCATATAAAATTTTGAACCTTTTGTTTAAAAATTGTTATTAAAAAAAATAAAAACCAAGTTTATGTGATATGATATGTGAAAATCGAACTATGTCTATAATTGGGTCTCTTGACCCAATGCCTTTCCATAAAATTTATATTTTAAAAAACAATTCGCAATTATTTGGTTTCACCTCATTTTATCTAACTTAAAATAATTCTAATAATTGATTTATGAATATTTAATTTTACATTACAGTATACCCAGCCTAAAATTTACATTAAAATTAATATGGTTTATTTTGTCTATTATTTGTACCCCATTATTCAAAATTTAAATCTATAGATAAATCTAAAGAAATTGCTATGGTCTCGTTACAGTATCATCTTGTCAGGTGTTTTAACCGTTGGATCATCTATTTTATGCTAACTACATGTGTATCTATCGGTTCAAACGGGACATTCCCTAAATTTAGTAGCCTAATGAGTGACACAATCTTGTTTATCAAAGGAAATTGAGGTGAGATTTGCTACAATTATCCATGTTGACCGAACAGTCAACAGACGAAATCCAGCCCGTCCAATTCTTTCACCGGAACCATGTGTGGGCGGCGACGATCTGCGGGTGCAGAGTACCCAACTGTGATCCACCACAGAGAACAATTACGCGGCTTATTTTTTCCCAAACCCCGACACAAAACCCTCTTGCCCTTTTCTTCTACAATCAAAGCGTATTCTAATTTCCAAACCAATTTTCAGAGACACAGACGACAAGTGTTCTTGAATTTCAAAACCAATTCCTGACTGAATAGTTTCGTAACGAGACCGTAGCATTTCTCGTAAATATATTTATAGAGAGAGAAAGAGAGAGCTGATTTTGTAGGTAGAAAGAGAAGTAAAGAGGAGAAAAATGTCTCTAACGAGTGTGAAGATGTCGGAGGAAGTGTGGGTGACGTGTCTGACCCATGCATTGTCGACTGAGACCGAGGAAATCATGGGCCTTCTTCTTGGTGACATCCAGGTCCTTCGATTATTTTCTGCATTGTCCCCATTTTTCGGTTTATTTGAGGTTTGATCATTGTGCTTCTGTTCAGACAAGGTTGCGGGTATTGGGCGGGTCCCTTTTTTTTTTTTTTAAGTTATTATTCATTCGCCGTTCGATTTTCATGGGTTCCCTCCCAATTTGTTCAGCTTATCCATTCATAGCCTAAAGATTGTAGCTTTATAAGGTTTGTGTCTGTTGTTCGATTTTTGGTAGCTTTGTGTGGAAATGTTAATCCTTTCATGGTTATTCGCATGACTTGTTGCTGTTGTTTAATGATTTGTGTGGAAATCATGAGCCTTATTGGTGACATTGAGGTCCTTTGAATTGTTTTCTACATTGTGTCCATGTTTGCGGTTATTTTGAGCTTTGCTAGTTGTGCTTCTGTTCGGACAAGCTTGCGGGTATTGTGGTTTTTTTTTGTGGTTTTACTTGATTGGTTCCTTATTTTTTGTATTTTTCAATTGCCGTTTGCGATGTTGATTTCATCGAGTTCTCTTGCTAACTTTGTTGATTTCATCGAGTTCTCTTGCTAACTTTGTTGAACTTCTCCATTCATAGGCTAAAGACTGTGTCTTGATTCAATTTTTAGTAGGATTGTGTGGAAATGTTATACTTTCGTGGTTATTCGCAGGGACTTGTTGCTGTAGTTTACAAATTTTCTCTGGTCTATGTGTCTAGTTCTGTTTTTCATCACATATAATCTGCACATGGCTATTGTACTTGGTGCAAGTTTTGAGTGAATCCGATGGAAATTGAGTAATAAATGAAGCGTCAAGCTGTAAGGTTTGATGAACTTTTGATATGAATTTAATTTATAATGATGTAAAGTTTAGCCATTTCAATACTTCGTGTTGTGTTCCTCACTCCACATTATCCATTGAGTTCATATTTTGGCTTTCTTAGTAATATACGATCATTTTCCTTTCTTAGTAATAGCGACTCACTTTGCAAAAATAAGATCATTTATGGCACTTGCATTAAATCCATGAATAAAATCTCCTTAATTTCAATTGTTGATGGTCCTTTCTTGCACAGAAGTTACAATTTATTTTTATTTTATCAGAATTCGGAGAATGGCAATGTGACTGCATCAATATGGGGAGCACTGCCACAGCCACGTGCTGATAGACGCAAGGACAGAGTCGAGACCAACCCTGAGCAGCTTACTGCAGCTTCAGCTCATGCCGAGATATCCTCTCTACCATTTACTTCGAGTTTGTGTATGATTATGTATGTTTTTATTCGAAATTATTATCTGAGTAGGTTGTGCGAGTGGAATATTTAGTAAGTATTCTTTTTCGGCTTTTAGTGTAAGCTGTTTTTATGTTTTAACAATGTTGATGAATTTGATGGATTATTGATATAAACACTATTCTTGATCTTTAAATCTGTGTTATCATATTGTACCTGCCCGTGACTTTTAGTGTAAGCTGTTTTTATTGTTGATGTTGTTTGATGATGAATTTGTTGAATTAACTTTATTAATACAAAATGACACTAGAAACAGGAAAAACAACCCGAGTGATTGGCTGGTATCACTCGCATCCTCATATTACCGTACTCCCTTCTCATGTAGGTGAGTTTCGAATATTTAGAATGCTTCACACTCATGATTTTAGGTTATTTGTAATTAAGTACCACCAAAACAATTGTAATATTGAAAATGGCTTGAAAAAAGACAACGAGTTTGGTTTCTGTCAGCTTCTAATATCCCTCTTTGTCAGATCTTTGGGGAGTTTGACAATCCAATTGGATTTCATTAAATATAAAAGATTCATACTTTGTGAGATTAGTAAAAAATAATTATTATATGGAATTATCTACAACTTTTGTTGCATTTGTGCAGATGTGCGAACTCAAGCAATGTATCAGCTGTTGGATCCTGGGTTCATCGGGTTGATATTTTCTTGTTTTAGTGAAGACGCCCAAAAGGTTCATATTCATATTATATACAAAAGAAAGCTGGCTTATCAGATTTTAATTAACTAAGTTTTCATTTGATGATATTAGGTGGGAAGGATTCAAATCACAGCCTTTCAGTCGCTGGACAGAAACCAGGCTCAGATTTCGAAGCCCGTTTCTCTTTTTCCAGTAAAACAAAAAGGATCTGTTATTGATCTAGAATCATCTCTTAGTTCTTCAGATAATACCGTTCTTGTGTTTAGAGGAGAAAGAATTGAACAAGACACTGCTGATTCGAGAGCCATTGTTATATCTTCAAAGGTATGTATGTGTATTTCTAGATCAACATTAATCTTGCTTGCAATGACAAATTATGATAACTACCCTTTCAAATCTAACCTAACGACTTCAAAATAATACCCTTCTAACATTTACGGGTCAGTTTTGGATTTGAAGTGAACCAAGGGCAATTTTTTTATTTTTTATTTTTTTAGGCCCTGCATTTAGTGAATTTCTTCTCTATTTTGGAAAAGCTTTATCATCCCCTTCAGCTCTGGTATTAAAAGATTCTTGGATGGTCAATATTTGATATTAACCATGGCTTTAGTTTTCACATAAGGATTAAACAGTTGAACTTTTGTGATGATGGTTCTCGATTGGTTTTCGTTGACCATCTGTCACTATTGGACTGTCACATGCAAAATTCCTCGAGAATGTGTTTCTTTTTTCTTCTTTTTTTTTTTTTTTTTTTTTTTTTTTTTTTTTTTTGTAGACATGCAACTGATTTTACTTCCTTTTTGTTTGGTGATTGCATATAATTGGCTAGAATGGAAAAAAATCTCGCCGCTTGGGGGGTTTCTTTTCAAATTCTGATGGGAGAAAGGAAAGGAAACACCATGCAAACAGTTTAAATAATTCAGTTCATAACGTGGATGCCATGGAAGTTTCAGAAGGTATGAAAGAGGCAATCCATCTGTCGAGTATGGAGATGAGGTAATAATATATGAGTATGCGATTTTTATCTTTTCACATTGAGCTTATGTTTTACGGGTGACTTAGTTAATGATGGTTTTGCAAATATATCCCTATGCTTTTCCACAATTTCACAAAGAACCTCAGTTTTTTCGTCCTATACCTCACAATTACAGACGTTGCTTTTCGAAATAAATTTATTATAAATAACCGAATGAAAACACTGTACTTAGGATTTAACCAAAGCTTATATGTTTTCGTCACTTTCACAATTTGACATTTTAGTGTCTTATTCTGCAAAGTTATCTGAAAAAAAAGGGTTCTTTGGTTTTTGTTACCAGTCAGGCCGAGTTTGCGAGGAAGGAAATATCTCTTCATGTTTTGCCTATATCGACTCTTACAAGTCTCGATTCTCCTTTGTCTTCATTTGCTTTTCTCCAACACGTACTGTATGAAGAGGAAAAGACTGCATATAACCAAGCCATTGCACAGAATACAAGGTGACTTTATCGAATGGCATACTTCTATTAGTTTTAGGCTTATTTACAAAACTTACTATGAAAATTAGTGTTACTATTATATCTCCCCATTATCCTTCGAAACTAGTAATACTGTTATCCAATCGACACTTTTTGTTAACAAACTGCACCCTTCACATGATCAAAGGGGATATTTGTTTGGTAAATTCAAACTTAAAAGGGGGTGAGTGTGATATTTTACGGTGGCATTTGTTATTTTGGTAGAGAACTAAAATTCTTTCATAGTTCATATCAGTTTATTAACTACCGTGATACGCATCTTTAGCAGGGAAAATAAGGTTCATCCTCTTTCTTATATTCACCACACCTCAACATATCAGGCTTCCATGTGCAAGATGATCGAGTATTGGTTAGTGGGAATGCAATCTTGTTTCGTTAGCAGCTTATATAGTTTGCTGTTTCAGTATTTTGTTTTTTAAATTTTTATTTTATTTATTATTTTTTTTCGCTCCACACGCAGCTTAAGTCCTGCCATCACTGCTCTTCAAGATCGTTTGAGGGAAAACGAAATCCAGGTGATCTTTTTTGGTTCTTTTTTCCCCCCTTTGTTTCTTTGGTCTTGCGATTTTGGCACAAGGGAATGGTGTTATGCACAGATTAAAACATTTCGTCAATTGTATTTCCGCTACTTACTTTGATAATTAACAGAAAAATTCAATAAAAAATTCGATAATTTCATTCTTGCTTCAATCGAAACAGTTAGAAGCGCTTTCTGAAGAAGCCCAAGTTCTTGAATCCGAGCTCTCGAGAGGAAGCCTGTCAGTTTCATCTCCGCTCCAAAGGGCTACGAAACAAAAGTCTGTTTCGTCTGAACTGATGTAATTAAGCCAATCTGCAAAACGACAATTCTAATCGAACGAGGAGATTATCCAACACTAATCCATGATGTGTATATAACTGTGTGTATGCTGCTAGAGACCTCGCAATGATCTTGGCTTCCTTCCAAGTGATTTTTGTACTGCAAAAACGGTTTGTATTTGCATGCTTGTCGTGCAAAATACAGTATTTTGCCTGATTACATACAATTTTCAGACCGTTCCCAGATTAATTCAGTAACTACATAAATAGGAAAATAAAAATAAAAAATAAAATTGAAAAAAAAAAAATGTTGCAGCAATTTGTGAAAGAACTCACTGAAATCATCATATCATCAACAAACATCACAAAAGCTTTAAAGAACACCAGATAAATCACTCTAAATCTTACACAAACTGATCCCTCTCAACAGTTCAAAATAGCAATACATAGACATAACCTTTATTATTATATTACTGTTAAAAATAGTAGTCAAAACTGTAATCAAAACTGAACTCTCTGCAACTCTTTAACCGGAACCTTCAATCAGAACCGTCGATAACGAACTTTTTAGAGTCCGAGCCTTGTGTTTAACCATTGACAAACATCATCCATCTCCTTAGGCACAGTGTAGTGACCGATCCTAAAAGTTGATGGCACAACAATATTATTAATCATCAACTCCGGATTTTTACGATAACAAATTGTTATTAATAAAAAAAATAAAAAATTGTGAATACCCTTGATAGGTTTTAAATGAAAGATTTCGAAAACCAGCTAAGCTCAATGCATGGTAAGACCTTTCTCCATGTTCGTGAGGAACAACTTCATCACCTGTTAAAGAAAGCTAATGAGGTCAATATATGGCACCTAAATGATAAGATCAAAGTAGAAGTATATGTTCAAAAGGAATTTACGAAGTTTGTTACGTCTTTTAAAAATTGATCGAAATAAATGGTTTAAGGAAAAATACGATGCATACATAGTCCGTGTGATAGCAAAATCGGCAGAGATGCAGCACGTCTTGCAGCCTCGTGTGATCCTTCAATCTTAATTCTAACACTTCTGCAAATATTAAATGTTGAAGAATATCAATTAAAAGCCAAACCATAAATATTTATTGATTGGCAAAGTCTCGACGAGATTCAATACGTACAATCACATTTTCCTTAAAAAGTTTCTCATCTCACTTGCGATTCACTCATTTGCGATTTTGAAATATAGCTTCGGTTTGTTTTTATAAATTCGCAAAAGTAAAGCTCGAAAAGTCTTTGAAGGACCATGAAGTAGAAGCATACCTAGCACCGGGAAGCCAGCCACTTAGGCCAACAATGGCTCGAAGGTTAACAGGATAAGGGTAGCCATTGCCGAATTTTCCCTGCGCAAAGCAAGTTGCAGAATACAAAGCCATTGCACAACCCATACTGAAGCCTCCAATACCAAGTTTAACTGAAATTGGTAATGTAAAATTTTTTTTATCACAAAATTTACAATAATCATGTTCGAATAATTGATTTCTTGTTTTATCACAAAATTAAGTGACTTCATGTCGCCAAACAAGGACCGAACAAATTTAACATGATTACAAAAAAACCAAAAAGAAAATAATAGAAATTAAAATACAACAATTATTATCTTCCCTTTTTTTTTCACAAAATGTTGTTTGCAACAGTTAGTTTAACTAGAATAGGGTAAACCATTTCAAAATTGTAGGTGAATTACCGCTTAGAAGCAGGGCAAATATAACTTCGTTGCTAATGCTGAATTTGGACACAATAAATATAATTAAGAAAAGAATACTAATCTCCTACTTAAGTAGAAAGGTAGCTTTATTATCAATAGTTAATATAAAATCTCGAAAATGACAAGTTAAGCATATAGCAATTTTAACAGCAGAGAATCTTACTGTCGGCAGGCTCTGTAGACAACAAATTAGCAATATGTGATGCCGAGCCATCTAAGCCTTCGAAATCATCTGGACAATCTTCAGAAAGCTCCCCCACATCGAACCCTGATACAAAACCCCATAATTAACAAGATATTTCTTTTTCCAAAAAAATTATAGTTATTACGTCGCTAAAAAATAGTCTTTTAGTTTTACTTACAAGCTGTGCAAGGAAATCCACCGAGTATAGCCACAGGGCGAGTGGGAGCTGTGGGACATATCCATTTTATCTGCATAATTAAGTTCAAGCAAAATCGAAATGGCTGAGAATTAATTATTATTATTATTATTATTATTATTATTATTATTATTATGAAGGTGCTAACTGCTAACTTACAACAACTAAACTTCAAAAGTTACATAAAAAAAAAAATGTAGAATTATTTGAAGAAAAATAATGCTTACATTTGGAAGGGGGAGACTTTCCAAAAGTTGTGACCAACTGCATAAAAAAAACGCAGAAAATGAAAAAGAAAATGAGTGTGTAGCTTCCATGTTAACTTATATGTCACAAAATAATGGCAATACACAAACTAAATAGCAAATAGTGCATATTTGTATTATCCTAAAGGCGAGAACTTTCGAAACACCATATTACAAATATGGAAGTTGATGCCAACATAAATTACCATGTGAACGGAGAAGAGAAAAAGCAACAATAACTAGGAAGTGAAGTTAAATTTCACCAATAAAGAAAAGATAAACATGTAAATCTTTTAATCAAGATAATTTGTTAGGCCTTAAATACAAAAAAATTCTAGTCCTTTTTCATTTTTGGAAAAAGGTAAGCTTCCTTTTACTTCTTTAGTGAGCTAAAAGGATTAAACGAGTATTAGCGGACCCACAATAAACATTTCAAAAGAGAAGCATAAATACCATTTGCTTCAAGATTTTCTTACTAGGCCAAGAATCAGAAGAGACAAGAAATAAAGCACAACGGGAACTTTAATTGGCAAAAACTTCTAAGAAATGATATTTTTTTTTTCCAAATAAAAGTGAAAAAGCTCAAGTTCTTTCAAGATTTGCAGAACCCTCACTTAAAAAAAAATTATTTTTCCATCAACTTAACCATTGTAGGAATATTCTCAAGTAAAGTGTTTTTATCATAGAATGGGTTTGCAAAAGAAGACTTCTATAGCCATTGACATCTCATTCATATTAACTTTTACTCTCCCTTTAGTGACATAAAGCCCATACTTACACAACCACTTGGCCATAAAGTGCATACTATTGTCAAAGATAAGAATTACCAAAAAAAAAAAAAAAAACGATTTTTTGCTGCCATAAATCGTCTAGACAGCCTAAAATTAACATTCACACTAAATAAGATCGTTTTTACTTTTTTCCAGCCAAAAAAGGTCGATGAAGAATCTCACTTTTCAACCTCCAATTTTCCACATTACCGATCAACCTAAGAAGCATTTTTTTTTCTAGCCTAGATGTATCACATTCTCAAACCCAAACCAAACCTCCACAAATCCACACAGTTATGAAATCTTAGCAGAGCTGCAAGATTTACTCAAGTTTTTCATGTGGTCCCTTTTTCATTTAACAAAACAAAAGGGCTCAATCCTTTTTCCTAACAAAGTAAATATTTACTACTAAAATTAGATAGACCACGATAACTTTTATCAATAATTATATAACATACACAACCATAACATACACAACCAAGAAACCATACCTCGAACCATTGTCACCGAGCCCATGCAACCAAACTATGGTAGCCTGGTGTTTTCCTTTAGGCTTAACCACATAAGTCCTCCCAAATTCTAATGTTCGACTTGTTCGACTCCCTGAGATACACACACACACACATGAATATAATCAGAAGTTCACTTGCAAGAATCGAGGATAACATAACTACATAGAGAAACAGAGTACTATGAGCAATTTGGAACAAGAACCCTTCTGGGCCTTTTACATTATGCAGGCATATAATCAAACACAATGCAGACACTGGCTCAAAATACCCTCATCAAATAAAAGGGGGCTTAAAAAATAAAGCAACTAACCAGAACCCATTGATGAATTTGAATAGCTCATTTTGTCCACAGAAGATAAAAACCCAAGAATTCCCTTAATGAAAAAAAAAAAAAAAATTGAACTCTCAAGAAACTTGAACCCAATGAGGACACCTTAAACCTGGACAGCCCTCTATTTATACTACAAAAAGGGCAAGGTTAAAAATGGAATCTTTTTGTTTATGTGTATGTGTATGTGTATGTGTGAACCAGCCTTGAAGCTCAAAAAGAAAACTTGGAAAAAGAAAAGTGGGCATCTATGAAAAGGAGAAGTAAAAGAAAGCAATCTTTTCATTAGCGAACAGAATCAAAACCAGCACACACACACGCACACGCACACACACACACACACACACACACAGAGAGAGAGAGAGAGAGAGAGAGAGAGAG